ATATCATTAAAACGATCATCAAATACAATTGATAAGTCTTTAAGTCACTTATCTATTTCTCAACCATCACGAAAAAAAACAAAAGATGGCCAATAATGAAATTGAACAAATAACTACAAATGGAACATCAGACAAGAAACGTTCAAAATCTAAAAAATAAATTAATCATAATAATGACTATTCTTGTATATCTGATTATTTACAAGTAACCAATCGTATATTTAAACAAATGTTAATCAGTTCATTAGAGGGTGCTGATAAAATTGTTAAACGATTAAATACAAGTGAAAAAGTAACTATATTCGTCAATGTGCTTATTTAATACATCGTCTATGCTATGTACAATTGCGAGAAAGTCAATGGAAGTATTATTATGATATTGGTATGCAAGAAAATATTTGATCCGGCCGCGTATCAAAAAAATGGGCTGTTTTGGATAGTATGCATCATAATTATGGTTGCTCAAAAACATTAATCGCACAACGTCTAACAACTCTTCAACGACAACTTTAAGAAGCATCACAAGCATTACAAGTGTTTGGCAATCCACCATTACCTCAATGTCTTTCTGAAATGAATCCTCCATTAGATTTTACAACAATGTCAGCAATGGTTACAGCTGTTGTCGGAAAAGGTCAACATAAATTAAGGCAACAATTTGAATATAATAAAAAAGTTTTAAAATTAGACTCAACAGATCATCGTTTAGTACAATATGTTGATGATTTGAAACCTAATAAACAACAAATTCGCTCTATTCGTAATATATGACAAGCAATTTATAATAAAAAGGCTTGTTAGCGCAGCTCCTTTGGAGCTGAAATGTGAAACTTTCGTATATCCTTCAAACCTATTATGCTAATGCATTATTTGTAAACTAAAACATAGCTGCTTTCAAATAATTCCGAAAGCATTGAAATATTGTATAGAATCTGAAGTCTCTTGTGCACGGTTGCTAGGTCTGTAATCAGGGTATGTCTGTAATGTTCTCTTCCGTTGTTGTGTCTGTAATGGGATGGGGGAGGGGGAGGGGGAGCCGGAAAACCTTGACCTTAACACTTACATCCACTATTTTCTTCGAAAATATACGTGAGTTCCACAAAACAAATGGAAGAACAAATTGAGATATTAAAATATCGCATCCATTCGAATTGTTTACCACCGACATTCAATCTTCTTGATTAGTCACTTAATAAAATTGATAAAATACTTAGCCGATCGAAAACATTTTCTACTAATGATGATGATAACAAGCAACAAACAATATTATCTGCTCATCGTTTCAAAAAAAATTGGCCGACTTAAATATGGTATGCTTGAATTAAGTATAGCAGCTGGTAAAGAAAAATGACGCTATTGAAATAAAATAGCGAAAAATGGAAAAAGAAATTGGTAGCTATTACCGATAATTGAAGATAAACAATTCAGATTCAGATATATTCAAACAACTAATGGTAGCTATTGAAGCACGTGGAAAACATATGATCGAACGATCTGATTATACTACACAACAAAAATTGAAATCTTTTTTCGATGAAACTCCGGCGTCACACGACGATACAACGATGGCGTCGGAGCAAATGAAAATTCAATATTCGAAACCATACGGATATGTTTCTTTGTTTATATTTTGCCAATACTATTGTAGCATTATCGAATGAACAATTGCTTATTCCCATGTCAACACTAAACGCAGAAATTGTGCGTTTAAACGCGTTTTTCTTGTGAAACGCGACTGGACTCAGTCAAAAGGCAATAAAAATCACTTCTGCACGCGATTTTTCACAGACCGCATCTAAACACAGCTGGACTAAGACTTCAAGCACATCTCAACGTGTGTTGGTTTGAAATCACGTCTCCAGTGAAACATTTCTTGTGTCTAGACGCGGTTTTACTTGCAACCGCGCCTAGACGCATTCCATTACTTCGATCAATATACAAACGAACTGCGATTGTGAAACTCGTTTATAGGAAAAATATATGAAAGATTCGTTTTCTATTCACTAGAAAATATATATCACAGTTTCTTTTATAAAATTAATTTAGTTTGAAGTATATAGAGTTCTCAAAAAGTTTAGAGTTCTTTTTCTCAAGAAAGACAGAATGTATATATATCTTAATCCTTAAAACATTGGTACTCTAAAATTGAAAATAATGAAATTGTAGAAATAATATAACCAAGTTTTTTTTCCAAAACGAATAGTTTCCATAATTAGATATTTCTAAAATTATGTAGTTGGATTTATCTAATGCAAACTCTTTTTTTTTTGAGAAATAAGTATATTTTTATATACTGCACCTCATTGGCATATGTATCTATGAAAAAGTTTATAATAGACGATGCATATATAGATTCTGTTTCGTTCTACAACTAATGTGATCACATGTGGCTCAATGGTGCATGTACACTTGCTTTCTAATCGCTAGTTTACTTGGTCTAACTTCATTTCTATCATTTTAGAAACATTAAAATTTAAACTTTCCGTTGGCCTGTAGTTAGGTAAAGATCATGGCTAGACAATATTGATGGCGAATCAGATCAAACCTGAGACGGATTGTAATACATTTTATAAATTTGAAATAGAGGCATTTCTTTTATTGACAACCTATGGAAAAAATTATTGAACGAGCATACAATCACATCTATTATGAAAATGTTAAAAATCTTACCGATTACATGTTTTCAACGCGTGATACACGTGCTATTGAATATTTTGCTGTAATAAAAAAATTACTTCAACAGCTATATACGAAACCAATACCAAAAAAACTTGAAAGACATGCTCGATATATGTACAAGATGATAAAAT